TTATATTCTCCCGTTCACATCTCAGCTTAGCATCAGAGTCTTCAGCGACTAAGGTGCTCGTCGCGTCTTCCGACTTCGTCAAGAGTTTCCGTCAACCCCCTTTTAAAAACAAGTCAACAACTGCTAGTGTCATATGCTCCAGTTCCACTATCCTCTCCGAAGCGACCCCGTGCATCGTAAAAACTGTTCACCATCATCGTCCTCGAGTTTAGGAAGTTGCTGTCACTAGCGCTGTCGGCGCCGCTGTCGCTGTCGCTGTCGCTTCACCGCTTTAGCGATGCTAGTTCGTTAGCGCCGGCCATACAAATGCTGCGTGCTACGATCCTCATATCAAAGGCCCCTCACCACAGCACATCTTTCATCCTTTTGTTCCCCTCGAACTAATCAATACCCTTCAATTCTCCGGACCTCGCAGCCGCGTACCACCAAGGGTTTGGTGGTATTGTGTGGTTGTTTGTTCTTTCTAGGTCTTCGTTTCGGGTTTTGTCGAGTGTCAGTGTCTCATCAACGTCCGAGGCGCCTACTCCCCTTAGTCACCTGTCTGCGTCTGAGGATACCAGCAGCTGACTGCGAGCTACCGTTACCTTCCTTGACGTTCTGTTCGGTGGGGCCGCCCACAGCACGAAAGCTGCACGAATCATCCTGCTCTGACCATCCGATGGAGCCAGCGCTGCTTCGTCCTCCCTCTGTGGCATTGGCGGAGGTCGACTTCACGTCATAGGAAGGCATCAGCAAGGCTGATGTCGTAGAGGTCGAGAGACATGCAGGCGAGAAAGGCTCTGGGACCGCGTCCCCAGTGGCCAAGTAAACATGGGCCTGATCGTCCTCGTCCTCGAAGGGGTTGAACTTGAAGACACGCGGAGCACAGTTAGCAATGAGCCTTGGTTCACCACCCTCGTCGGTTCGGATTGGCCCATGTTGGAATTTATAAGGGCGGACAAGCTGCTGATTGTGTCCCTGTAACCAATCCTGTCCTATCAATGGATCCTCTCGCACTCTCTCAGCCACGGTGCCGCGTGCTGCATGCATGTCGATCGTTGCATGAGGATACGGGTATTGCATGGCATCCAGAGGCAGCGATGTTGCCGGTTGCCCGGAAGGGCAATGGAATGCTGGATCCCGCTCATTATGGGGATAGTAGTCGAAGGTGTAGTGATGAGTGGTTGCATGGGGCGCCGGATGCTGCACCATGACCGACTCGGGCGTCGCCCACGAGGCGTGGTTCTGCGGAGCTCGTTCATAGGAATGGCAAGGGAAGGGTTGTTCAAAGAGGGAATTATTGTATTGGGGCCCGGTGGGACTCAGAGCACCCTCTTCTGCAGCTCTGATTTGCTGGGGACGGCATAAGGAGTGCTGCCTTTCTCTCGCTATGCGAGCTAGTCTTGGCGGAAGAACACCCAGTCTAGGACAGTTGTAGGTGGCCTTTCTACCACCATCACAACGTGTACAATGCCGGAGCCGGTCTTCAGCTGGGTTCAGAACGCCAGCTCGGTGCTCTATGGCTGTAGAGTTGTCCTCGCTGCGTTGCACGAGGTTTGTTATTAGTACGCCTTCCTCCTCGAGGTGAAGCTAATGACAAATTTTCTCAGTATATGTCGTCAAGGAAGGCTGGAATGCCCGTTACCTGCCAGGTACCCGGTGGCTCTACAACTGGGACCATATGCTCGCTACACTCAGTCGCCTGAGTCTGGCCAGTGTCGACGCTCATCCCGACCAATCCACCCATCGGGTGCGCAGCAGGCTGCGCTGCATAAAGAGAAGCTTCAGCAGAGCTGAAATAATGCGACATCAAGACGATCGGCAGTTGTTTGGCTCTGTATCGGCAAGGGCTGGGTCGCGAGACAGGCCTGCACATCCCGAGCCTGGGAAAATGAGATTTTTATCACTGATAAGGGCGACCACAGGCCTCCTCAAGTCTCCCTCCAACATCCAATGCACTACATCCGTGGCTTATCCCCGACTGCAATGCAACGAGGCGTTCCCCGGTCTGCTACATGATACTGAAGATGTGCTAGACTGATCAGCCTTTGTTTGAATAATATTGACGTCAAAGTCCGGTAGGTTCTCGTTGGAAATCCATCCCTCTGAGACTTGTCTCATGCATGAGTTGCGCGATCTGTCCGTCTTACTTCTATGCTCTAGTTCTCGACGAAATGACTCCTCTCGCATCTGCGCAATTGGATACCCCATCTGCCACCGTAGTTGACCAAACCCACTCGCCTCGCAACTTCAATTTGACATGCAGTTGCAGACGATGCGTTGTAAGTCTAGAGACGCATCCACCGCTAAAGTTGGCAGCTGTAGAATGGGCATGGATCGATGCGACGTTCTTCCACAATGTAGCCTGCTATAACCGCCCATCTCAAAGTGCATCTTGCCCAAGTCTTCGTTGTACAAACAGTCGGTACATACATAGCCACGGATCCAATCAACTAGTAGCTCACAAGGCCCACTGGCATTGAAGGCATCTACAGAGGAGACTGTCCGCAGACGAGATGTGGCAGGTGTCAGAGACCCGTGGCGGATACGCGAGACGTGACATCACGTGTTCTTCGCGTTTTTGAGTCACTCCCATCCATCCCTTGGTCAAGGTGCATTCACGTCAAAGGCTAGTATTTATCCTTGCGTGCCACTACCTGTGGCGCTAAGTCGATGGCAGAGTTCCAAGGAGATCGAATCACATACATACTACCCTCACTACATGTAAAGGGTCTCTTGGCCAGTGCCTCGTGAGGGCGAAGCGGTGGAGGGCAGGAGGGCAGGAGAATAAGGAAGACGCTAAACAGCTGACCGTGAGCTGAGGATACAGGATTTCATTAACCTTCTCAACTTCTGACGAATTGTCAATGGTTAGGCGTCGGGGCTCGCTGATTAGACATGGTTAGATGATCAAGTTTCTGGACAAGTTGCCGAGACTCTGAGTCCAGACGTTGGGCGCGAATGTATACCTGCAGCCTCGAATTGAAAAGCGGCCACGAAACAAGGTGCATAGCGGACGTCCGACCTTGCTCTGGTGCCAGGGAGATTGCGTTCTACTATCGGTTTCTCCAGTCTCGGACTTCATTGAGCTTCTCGGCGGCCTCGCTTACCACAATAATATTCTTCCGCGTGAATTCTGCGGGATTCGCTCGCGGCAAATATTCTTCTGTAGTGAGATTGGAAAGGTTTGGTTACGGAGAGATAGCGGTGCTCGACGACGGACATGTCCGACTCGGCGTCCTGCCCGGAACACTTGCCGATCATCCGGCTTGCGATTCTGTTCTGCAGAATTACACACATGACGTCACGCGTCGGTATAAGATAAAGATCAGTCCAGTTTCTTTTCATTACCGAACTCTCATCGCAACACCATCCACCGCACACTCACTCCCTCTACACCCACTCACAATGGTCGAAGGAAACATGAAGGCTCTCTACTACCACGAGGTGCATGCAGATAGCGTAGACTTTGGAGAAGGAACCTAACTTGCATGCGCATATAGCCCAGGAAATTCGAGATTAGGGACGTTCCGATTCCCAAGTGCAACGACGACGACTTGTTGCTAAAAGGTGAGAGCTGCACTTGTACCGCGTGGACAGCACGTTAACCAAGGGTTCCAGTGACCTACTGCGGTATGTACCCTTAGCCAACGGAGGCGATGGTTGTATGCGTCAACGGTTCAGCCCATCGCTGTCCCAAGACCGCCCACGGGATCCTAACGGCTCTCTCCAGGTGTCTGTGGTACCGACGCTCACATTCACGATGGCGAGTTCATCGCCAAGTTCCCTGTACGCGCCTTTCCCTTGGTTCCTTCGACGCGGGCTGACGGTCTCCCAGCTTATCCCAGGCCACGAGGCGGTTGGGAAGGTGGTGGCAATGGGAAAGGACGTCAAAGATTTCCAGATCGGTGACCGTGTAGTCGCCGATGTCGGTATCTCGGTACGGATGCGTTCATCGCTGGTCTTCTCTTGCCATATCTAACCCTATCGGTATTCAGTGCGACAAATGTTTCTACTGCCGACGCGGCTCGCAGCTTCTCTGCGAGAACTTTAACGCACGCGGTGTTACCCAGGACGGTGGTTTCGCAGAATACATTGTCTAGTATGTGCGTTCATTGCCGTGCTGTTCATGTGCATGACCGCTCGGCAGCCACCAGAAGAAATGCTACAAAATCCACAACATGAGCGACGAGGAGGCGACGCTTATGGAACCTGCAGCGTGTGCGATCCACGGTCTGGATAAGCTGAACCCGCCCGTCGGTATCGAGGTGCTCATGCTCGGTGCCGGCCCGACGGGTTTGATGTTGGCGCAGCTGCTCAAGCTCAACGGCGCCTCCAAGGTCGTCCTCGCGGCGAACAAGGGTATCAAGACGGAGATTGCGAAGGACCTTGATTGCGCGGACGAGTACGTCGAGCTCGACAGGCAGAACCCCGGGGCGCAGTGGGAGCAGCTGAAGAAGGACTACCCGTACGGATTCGACGTTGTCGTGGAGGCGACGGGCGTGGAGAAGCTCGCGCAAGAGTCGATCAACTATGTGCGCCGTGGGGGGACGTTGATGATCTATGGTGTGTACGAGAACAAGGCGCAGGTGCACTGGCCGCCGAGCAAGATCTTTGGGGATGAGATCAAGGTGAGGACCTCCTCTTTGCGTTACTGAAGAAACGGGAATCGCTGAATTTGTCTCGTAGATCATTGGCTCTTTCTCGCAAACGTACTGCTTCCCGCGCGCGGTGGCGTACCTCGACAGTGGGAAGATCAAGACGAAGGGTATGGTCACTGATATCTTCAAGCTCGAGGACTATCAGGGGGCGTTGGACAAGATGAGCAGCCGCGGGGCGCTGAAGATTGCTATTAAGCCGTGAGAAGTGAAGTATTCTCTTTGTGGCAGTAGCAAATAATGTATAGTGTTATCGGAACGCACTGTGTACACTTGTAGAGGAGATTGTGAATAGGACTTGTTTCTTGTGGATGAGAGTAGAGTTTGGTGTGGAGTAGTGTGGATCAATCAGGGTGTGATTCATCGGATATGGTGTAATGGTTAACATTACCGCCTCTCAGTTAATGGAACGCGGTAGCTCGGGGTTCGATTCCCCGTATCCGAATATGCCGCATGAGAAAGTCTTTTGATCTGCATGGCTGGAAGAAAATCGACACGGTTTGCGGTACGGAGTGTTTTAGAGGCAATTCTGATACCCAGGGTTGGGAGGTATAATATCCAGGTCATCTGAAGGGAAGGAATAATAACGATACTGGTAGTACAAGAGGGAAGATAGAGCTCTAAAATTGGCAAAGTCTGTTCCGCTCTATGAGGAGGACGGAGATGACGATATGGTCGAGGGTTTCTTGGTCGTTGAGGCCGGCGACCTCGAGGCTGGCGGGGGAGAGGACGACGACGACGTCCTTGTCGTCTGTGTGTGGGGGGTTGAAGGTGGCGACGAGGGGGGTGGTGTCGCGGCCGGCGGTGTAGCTGACGCGGTGGCACTGCGTTTCAAGTTGGTTGAGCGGGGAGGGGAAGGGAGGGAGTGGGAAGGGGGGGCATACCTTTTTGACGTGGTCGGAGCAGTTCCAGAGGAGCTGGGTGTTTCCTGGGAATTCCCACGAGTAGGGGTTTTTCCATGAAAAAGCGGACTGGATTGTAAAGGGGCTTGTTAGCGGGAAGGGAAGGGAGGGAGGGAGGGACTGACGGTCTTGTGGTTGCCTGCGCCCTTTTTGAAGACTTTGGCGAGCCAGACTTTTGTGCTGCCGATGCGGACTGTGCCGATTCGGTCTTTTTTCTTGTGGTCGGGGTTGCCGAGTCTGTGATATGAATTTTGAGAGGGGTGAGATATAGTATGGGCGGGGAGGGGGCTCACTCGATCTCGCCGACGAGCGGGCCGGAGGGGGAGCCGCCGCGGCGGACGGTGGTGGTGTAGGCGGCGGGGAAGAAGCAGTTGAGGCTGACGGAGATGTGGTAGAGCGCGTCGTCGGCGCGGGAGGGGCCGGTGGATTCGATGGGGGCGATGATCATGGAGGTGGGGGAGAGTTGGGAGAAGGAGTAGCGCGTGGGATGGGCGGTGGGTCTGCGCGCTTCGGGACTTTGGAGGGTGGCCGGGTGTTGGTGTTTAGGGTGCTGTGGGGATTGGACTGGGGGTACGTACGGGGTTAGGAGGAGGGGGCTCACGGGGCCCGAGTGGCGGGCGTTGCTCGATTGCGAGGACGCGGAGGAGGGGGGTCCGCGGGGAGGGCGCTCGTCGTGGTACGAGCGCGGCTCCATGGGCGGGGACGGCAGCGGGTTGGTCGGGGCCGGCGGGCTCGTGGCGAACTGCCGCACGCGACCTGGAGTGGTCGGCGAGGGATAGGTCGCAGATGGCGCGTGGTCTTGGTCGCTGTACTGACGGCGCATGTCGGGGGCTTCGGCCGTGTAGCTGTGGGGGGTTCGTGAGCGTCTTGGCGACATGGGATTCTTCGACTTGCCTTGGAGGAGGCGGACTGAAGAGCGTGGAAGTGGGAGACAGAGGCTCGGGCTCTTCTGTTAAAAAGTTCATGGTGCCCAGTAAGACGGTTGGCCAGACGCGCTGTGGACATATATTGCCCAGTTCATCGTATTTCGCTGTTCAAAAGGTTGTCCGAACAGGGGCGAATCGCTGCCCACTCGTCTTGCGTCCTCACGAACGTGCACGGCGCTTTTCAACCATCCCGGGGCGGCCAGTCGGCGTTTAGTGGATCGAGGCGTGTACCTGAGATCTTGAGACTCGCCGACTTGCTGGACTCTATCCATTCAACTATTCGGGCTATAAACGGCAATCATATAGCTTTTTCTGGAGATCTTTGGGAGGACAGGATTCGGCAGAGGACTTAAGCTTGATCACCTATAGCACGAATAACTGTAAATTGGCGGAGGCTGTCGATCCCTACCACCGCCGAAGGAGAGAGAACTAGCTAGTACATCCACTTGAAAAGCTTCCGCCCCAACACACCTCAGGCACGACCATACGTCGGATTTGCGTGCATCAACGCTGACAATCCAACTTATCGGGGACCTGAAAGAACCATTCCGAACCCCACGAATAACCCACATCCAGGGCAGCACTTAATGAACGGGACGCCGAGTTCCAGATCGTACCGATACAACGGGCACTGCGCTAAAGGTACAAGCTATCTCGCTACATGAACCAAGCAACAACATGACTATACGATATGTACTGCCTTTCTATCAGGTCCATGCAACCGACGGTCCATTAAACAATCCGAGAATGTAGAATACACTAGATCCTCTCATACATACATAAATACGCTTTCGCCTTGAGCACCTCCTCAAGTGTAGTCAGCCGCACGACAGTGTCGCTGATGTACGCCCACTGCCGGGTAGCAGCATGAGAGCGCTCCTGCTGCGCCCCATCACTGCCCGCCGCATCCGACTGCTGCGACACGGGCGAACGTGCATCGGGGAGGGCAGTATACGCAACGTAGTGACCCCCAAGCTACAAGACCCGTCCGTCAGCACTGCTCTCACCCGCACGTACCCTGCATACACTCACCATATTCCCGATATGCACAACCACGGCGTACAGCCTATACATACACTTCCCCTGCCGTCTCTGCCGGGCCTTCTCCTCTCCCCCCTCGCTCCCCAGCCCAAACTCCTCCTTATTCGGCGCAAGATAAGGACCCAGATCGAGGTACTCCGGAAACGCCACAAACTCATCCAGCTTCCTAAACCCGCTCGAGAACGACGACAGCGCGGGGCTCTTCGAGATCTGCTGGAACCGCTTCAAATGGATAATCAACACAGGCGGCGCAGTCGCAATGAGATACCGCTTGTACGCCCTCCGAAAAACCACTTGCTTCGATCTCGGCGTCTTCCTCCTCGCCCCCTCGTCCAAATTCAACCCGAGACCCACACCCCGCGCCAGGTTCTCCTGCGACACGCCAGGCGACGCATACGCCGAGCCATCCGAAAACCCCGACGCATCGCTCTCCGCGCCCGACCCCTCGCTCTCGCTCTCCACCTCGCTCTCCGACTCGTCGCCCTTCCTCTCCTGCTTCCCGCGCCCGTAGCGCACCGGCGGTGCGCTCAGCGAACTTCTCGACGTCGACGCGCCCATGCTATCCACAGGCAGACTCGGAAGCGGCTTCGTGGCGGACGGAGACTCCGGCGCAGCAGTCGTCGAAATAGAAGGGACGGGGAACCCGCGGTATTCTGGGATGACCTCGGGGGAAGGGCTCGCCTGTGATGAATCCAGCGGCGCAGCCTCAAGTCTGAGCGCCGATGGGAGATACGAAGCTACAGTAGCGGCAACAGACGATACGGATGTCCCAGCTTCTGCTTGCGCGGGGAGGAGCGACGACCGAGCTGACTGTGCACTAAGTGAAGCGGTAGAGGAGGCAGGAGACACGACCTCGGCTTGTAGATCCGGCGCGGACGCCAGCGGCTCAGAACGCAGATCGCGACCGGGCGACGCGTCCCGAATCGACGCCGGCAACGAACGCGCCTGTACAGCAGGCGACGCTGACGGCGACCGACTAGCCCCCCTTTCCGCTCGCCGAACGCTTTCTTCCGACGTCTCCGAGTCCTCGACATCAATCCCCGCGCGTTCGCGGTTCTTCTCACTTTTCGGCCGCTTCTGATACGTCCCGTTCGCAATCTTCCAACACCGCCTGCACCCGACCATATTCTCCCCCTCCAACACCTCCACAGACGTAAACAGCCTCAGACACTCCTCGATACTGGGAATCTGCCCGAGCTTCGCCCAGAGACTCTGCGCCGCCGTACTCGTCGCCGACGCGGAGGAGTGAGGATGGTGTGTCGGATGCGAGCCGGTGAACGACGGCGGCCGGAAGAGCGCGAGCGGGTGCGACGACGTGGGGAGCTGCACGTCCGCGAGGAGGCGCCGGAGGTACGCGGACTCTTCGCGCGACAGCTTCGGCGGGCGGGGCGTTTTGACTTGCTTGCCGCCCATTAGAGACGGGCTCCCAGCGCGTCGGATTATCGGCATCAGAGGGGAACCCGAGACGAGCGGCGACGCGGAGAAATTGGGGGAGGGGCTTGCAGTCCGGGAGGGTGGCTCTCTATTCTTGATTGGGATGGCAGGGGAGGGAGGGCTAAAGTGCTGCACCGACGGAGCAGGCGACGAGGCGATATCTTCGCCGTCTTTATTCTTGGACTTGCCGCGCTCAGACTCGGTCGATCGGACCCTCTCCATAGACCGGCTACGCCTCTCCCTGTCCTTCTTCCCCATCCCCATCGCCACGGACATGCTTATTCGTCTCCCAAGCTTTACCCAGTCATTATCCTCCTTCTCCTTCTTGTCCTTCTCCGGCTTCTCGACGACCACGAATTCGACGTGGTCCTTGTCCTTGTCCTCCGATACTTTATCGACCCCGCCCTCCTGTCCATCTTCTGTCGCGGGGGGCTCAAACTCCGAACTGGCCGCCAGGTTCCGGAGACTGCTCCCGGGGAGTTCCTCCGTAGCTGGCGTCGCGTCGATACTTCGCCTGCGGACATGCTGGTGCTCCACCAGCGGCTCGTGCTCAGCAGCCTCGTCAGAATTGCGGCGGATAGGACTCGCGGGGACTGATGAGGAGCGGGGGACGCCTGGCGCTGTGCTCGGCCGCAATCGAAGCTTCTTCGCAAAGGTCTTCAGCTTGTCGCGCTTGCGCTCGCGCGCATAGTCCTCGGGTTTGATGCTCAGGCTGAGGTCGTTAAAGTCCTCGTAGGTGCACGAGATGTGCTTGCACTTTTCGCACACGAGGAAGCTTGCCAGTTTTCCGCCGAAGAGCATGTCAGAGAAGGTCGCGAGGGTCTCTTCGAGTGAGGACGGGAGTGGAGAAGGTGCTGGCACGTCCCCTTCAGCCTCGGGCGATGGGCGGCTGGACTTGGAGCTTTCCAGGAGAGGGGGGAGAGATGTCTGGAATTGCGCGGTGCGCGGTGAAGCTGCGCCTGCTGCCGAAGAAGATGCGAACGGTTGCTTGGATGAGCGCCGGCGCTTCTTCTTGGGCGGTGGGGGCTGGCGTTGTTTGATTATCTAGAAGTTAATGTGAGACGACCCTCGTGTACGTAGTAATGCCAGTGACTCCTTACGTCCAATTCCTCCATGCGCATGGCATCGAGCAAGTGGCTCAG